AATTATATTTATAGATTTACGTATGTTGAACCATCCTTGAGATCCTGGGATAAAACCCACTTGGTCGTGGTGTATGATGTGTTTGATGTGTTTGATGTGTTGCTGGATTCTGTTTGTTAGGATCTTGTTGAAAATTTATAGCAGTAGCACAGGGTACGCCAGCAACCAGATCAGTCCTAGTTCAGCCCCACCAGGGTGGCTGGGGGGGAACGGAGGACTCCTTCACCCTTGCCCACTGGATGCATGCAGCCCTAGCAAGCCGATCTGGGCCCTTCCAGCGTAGGATCCCAGAGCAAGGGAACTCCTCTACCACCACCTGTGGGGCACACGTGGCTCTAGCAAGCAGTTCTGGTCCCACCCAGCACAGGTGCCTGGAGCAGGGAACTCTTCCACTGGCTCCCAGGGGGTGTGCGTGTCTCTAGCAAGCTGTTTTGGGCCTGCCTGGAACAGAGGACTCCTCTGCCACTGCCCGTGGAACACCTGCTGCCCTAGCAAGCAGTTCTGGGCCTGCCCAGAGGAGGAGCCTGGGGCGGAGATCGCCTCTGCCACCCATTAGGTGTGTAACTCTAGCAAGCAGTTCTGGGCCCGCCCCAAGTTGGGGACTCCTCTGGCGTGCATGGCTCTAGCAAGTAGATCTGTGCCTGCCCATATCAGGGGACTCCTCTGTGGCCACCTGCAACCCGCGGGGAGAAGCGCTGCTCTAGCAAGCAGTTCTGGGCCCACTCAGAGCCCAGGAGCGGGGAATCTACTCTGCCACCCATGGGGCATGCAGCTCTAGCAAGCAGTTCTGGGCCCACCCAAAGTTGGGGCCTTCTCCATCACAGCCCGTGGCATGCATGAGGCTCCAGCAAGTAGTTCTGTGGCTACCCAGAGCAGGGGACTCCTCTGCAGCCACCCACCACCCACGGGAGGCTTGCGGTTCTAGCAAGCAGTTCTGGGCCCACCCAGAGCCCTGGAGTGGGAATCTCCTCTGCTGCCTGTGGGGTGCGTGGCTCTAGCAAGAAGTTCTGGGCCCTCCCAGAGTAGGGGGCTCCTCAGCTGCTGCCCACCAGGTGCGCAAGCCTCTAGCAAGTAGTTTTGTGCCTGCCCGGAGCAGGGGACTTGAC